TCCCGCTGCCCAGGCGGGTCTCGAACCCGCGGGCTCAGGCAATCCACTCACCTTAGCCTCCCAAAGGTGCGGGATTACAGTGTGAGCCACCGAGACTGGCTTCTTCTAAATCCTCTTTCCTTTGTCTGTCCGTCTGTCCTTCTGTGTCCTAATCTCTCTCTCTCTCTTTTTTGAGTCAAAGTCTCACCCAAGCAGGAGTGCAATGGTGTGCAAAGTCTTACCCAAGCAGGAATGCAAAGTCTTACCCAAGCAGGAGTGCAATGGTACAAACACAACTCACTACAACCTTGACCTCTTGGGCTCAGGTGAGACTTCCACCTCAGCCTCCGGAGGAGCTGGGAATACAGGCAGGCACCACCACGCCCAGCTAATTATTTGATTTTTGTTGTTGTTGTTGTTGTTGTTGTTGTTGCTGTAGAAATGAGGTTTCATTGTGTTGCTCAGGCTGTTCTCAAACTCCTGGACTCAAGTAACCCTCCTGCCTTGGCCTCCCAGAGGGCTGGGATTATAGGCATGAGCTACCATGACCGGCCATGAGTCCTAATCTCTTATAAGGATACCAGTCATATTGGTACCTTCATTTTCTTTTAATTTTCTCTTGCAAGGCCCTATCTCCATGTACATTCACATTCTGAGGTGCTGAGGGTTAGCATTTCAACATGTGAATTTTGGGAGGACACAATTCAGTTTATGACAGTGGGCACGTGTATGTGTGTGTTTATCAGGGAGGATAGGGTTTTACTCAACTGTTCCTTTTTTATTTTTTGTTTTTGTTTTTCATTTTTAAAATTTTATCTTAAAGATGTGGAATACAATTCAAGGTTAGGTATACAAGTGGTCATACAAATTTTGGGCCTCCTGTTGGTCCCCACTTCACCTGGTTTGAGATCAGGTACCCTTATGGATGTTGTGTGCTCCCCTCCTTCCCGGGCAGTATCCCACTACTGCCAGTTCGTTTCTTACAGTATTACGGTAAATGTTCAGGGTCCGCTTATGAGTGCTTTTCTTTTTTATGGTTTCTTTTTTTACTTTGCGTTTCTGAAAAGTCAGCATTTGGGGTTCTCCATTTGGCCTCCCAGGAGTCTTGCAGGAGAGGTTTAATGAAGAACTGGGAAAGGTCATTCTGGTTCAGACGCCAGTTCCATTCTTTCAGGGACCACGTCTTTGCCCAGGCATTAGAAACTGGCTGAGGAAAGACCTCTAGATGCCTTAAAGTATCCCTTACTGGTGAACAAGTTCCTTGTTTCTTTCCGTATTTCTTTTTCCCTGGAATTCTTCTTGACTCTAGTCCTACACCTCTCATGGAGTGACAAGCCCCATTGCTCAGGGGGATTTGTCAAGGCTGCCACCATGTTTCAATCTCCAATTCTGAGGTAAGAATATTGGAAAGCAATCATGAGAGAGTTTGAAGGCTTTCTTAGACATTTCGGCTGCCTGGGCAAGGCCTGGGTAATTCAAATAGCTTTACAAGATTGAACTGGCTAATTTTATTATACTCTGAGTAGTCACCTAAAATCCATGAACCCAAAACCAATCAATTTTCGTGTGTGTTTTTTATTCCTTTGGGCCTTAAATAACCGTCTTAAAACATACCATTTGCAGTTTCTTTTGGTTGATTCTAAAAATTGCTTGCAATTCTTAAAATATATAGAGAAGCACAAAGGAAACTATAAAGAGAGCCCTGGGCATGCCTCTAGTCCCAGCTACTTGGGAGGCTGAAGCAGGAGGATCGCTTGAGCCCAGGAGTTCCAGTCTAGCCTGAGCAACATAGCAAGACCCTGTCTCTAAAATAAATAAATAATAAAAAGAAATATAGCCTTGAATCCCACTACCTGCCACAAACCCATGAACACTTATTTTTTAAGTTTTTATCAAACTTCTTTGTCTTCCAGAATCAGAAACTATCCTTTCCTCCAGTGACTCTTGGAGAAGCACTGAGTCGACTTATGCAGACACCACCCAGCTAACATCCAAAGGTCTGTGGACACTTGTCCTGTCTTTCCTCATCCCTTGGTTTGAGGAGAAGGAAGTACATAATACAATTGTTGAATCAGATGACCAGAGATGACCTTGGAGTCCTCTGTGCCATGAAAGCCACCTGGGGCAAATTGGCATTTGGGCAGCATTTGTGGTTTATTCATTCCTGTGACTCTCAGAGACAGACAGAGGGGGAGGGGAAAGAGGGAGGGAGGAAGAGAGAGAGTAGAAAGAGAGGGAGTTAAGGAAGGGGGGGTGGAGAGAGAGAGACTACCTTTATATTCCAGGCCAGGTGGCACTTGGCTGTCTCATCCTAATTTCAGACTAACCAGTCTTTGTTAAACTCCTGGGTACACTCACTCCATGCATTGGCTTTTTGGCTTTTTATAGTGGAGGAGACTTCTTTCATTTGACCCTTCTCCACCCATCAAGCTTTCTTTAGGTATTTGCAGGGTTCTGGGAGTAAAGAATACCGGAAATACCATTCTCACCCTCGCGGGTGCTAGAGGCTTAACTCTGGAGGTCTCTGGCCTCAGTTTACCCATAGGCTCGTTGTAGGTTGTGTATCTTCATGCATGTAAGGGACCTGGGTGAGTGCCTGGCACTTTGCGACTCACATGGTAGTTGTTGTTTTAATGGGGCTGATCATCAAGCCAAAGAGAACAGATGGGTTTAGGGCAAGGAAACCAGTGTTTGTGGTAGCACAACACAGGGGGGCAAGAGGGTGGAGTGGTTCATGTGTGCACTCTACCTCACATCAACCTAAGCGCATGTCACACCGCCTAATTACAAATCTTGCCTCTCACTTGCTGTGTGGCTTGGGGAAACTGACAATCTCTCTGGGCCTGAGTTTCCTCACTGGAAAACGTGAATAAGAATAACACCTATCACATGGTTCTTTGGGAGAATTAAACGAGAGAATGCATGAGATCGCTTAGGATGGCATCTGGCACACCCTCAATGCTCAGCAAATGTGAGCTCTTCTTTTTTTAAATGACAGAAGTCGGTATAGGGGACACTGGGACACTGAAAGCAGACACATACCTAAGTCTGTGTTCTCTTTTCCTTTTTTTTTTTTTGTTGTTGTTCAAAGAGCCTGAAGTTTGGATTCTCCTCTCAACGTCCCAGGCATCTACGTGGAAAAGGAATGATACAGGGACTCCTCCTGGAGGTAAAGGATTGTTCTCAAGAGTACTTTTCCTTGGGCTGTGGAAACATCTGCTCCTCCCCGCCCAATCCCCCCAACTAGATGTCTTGGGATTAGGCCGCATTGCCGGCTCCTGCTTCCTACTCATCTCGGGGTCCCTCTGTGGAGACCTCGCTTCCTAGCAGGCCTGGAGTGGAAGTAGGAAAACCACCTATTCTGTTTTCAAGCTTTTCTTTATTTGCTTTATGTGACACAAGCGCTACACGAATGCATTTTTGTAAAGCAGATAGAATTAAAATTCTCATTGACCCCCTGTCCTCCTCCCCAGCCCCCAGCCCTGAGATATCTGGTATCAGTTGAAAAATTATCATTCTAGATATATATTTTTTCATTCCCTTATGTGTCTGTATAGACATAGAAATATGTAGTTTGAGGCCAGGTGCAGTGGATCACGCCTGTAATCCCAGCACTTTGGGAGGCTGAGGTGGGAGGATTGCTTGAGGTCAGGAGTTTGAGACCAGCTAGACAATATAGTGAGACCTTGTCTCTACAAAAAAATTTTTTAAAAATTGGCCAGGCAAGGTGGCACAGACCTGTAGTCCCAACTATGAGCTGTAAATTGTACCATTGTACTCCAGCTTGGGCGACAGAGTGAGACGCTGAATCACACACACACACACACACACAAAACTAAAGTATATATTTCTTTTTTTTCCTTTCTTTTTTTGAGTCAGGGTCTCACTTTGTTACCCAGGCTGAAATGCTGTGGCATGATCAGGGCTCACCACAGCCTCAAACTCCTGGGCTTAGGCGATCCTTCCACCTTAGCCTCCCAAGTATCTGAGACTGCTTGATACTCGCTACCATGTCTGGTTAATTTTTTTGATTTTTGATTTTGTAGAGATGAGGTCGTGCTATGTTGCCCAGGCTAGATTTTGTGGGGTTTGTTTTCTGTTTTTTGTTTTTAGTTGGAGCTTCACCCTATCACCCAGGCTGGAGTGCAGTGGCCACTCCCAGCCACCGCAGCCTTGACCTGCTGGGCTCCAGCGATCCTTCCTCCTCAGCCTTCCGAGTAGCTGGAACTTCAGGCGTGCACTACCATGCCCAGCTAATTTTTGATTTATTGTAGAGACGAGGCCTCGCCAAGTTGCCCAGGCTGGTCTTGAACCTGCGGGCTTAGGCAATCCTCTCACCTTGGCCTTCCAAAGTGCTGGGATTATAGACGTGAGCCACCATACCTGGCCTTTTAAAACAAATGTTATCTTATTGTATGCAGCCTTTTAAATTTTTCTTTATTCACTTCCTGCTATATATTGGGCCACCTTCTTTTTTAGTCCCTGTAGTTCTGCATTACTATGTTAAACTGCTTTATAACCACGCATATTCTGGGGATACATGCTATCTATTGCTTGTTAAGGGACATTCGGGTTGCTCCAATGTTTTATCGTTATACATGGTGCCCTGTGGATGCTCTTTACATGCAAGCCTTCCTAAGCATTTATGCAAGTGATTCTCTAACTAGGATGACCAAGAAGTAGAAAGGCTGGCTTAAAAGAAATGTGCACTTTAGGCCGGGCTCAGTGGCTCAGTGGCTCAGCCTATAATCCCAGCACTTTGAAAGGCCATAGTGAGTGAATTGCCTGAGCCCACGGGTTCAAGACCAACCCGGGCAACTTGGCGAGACCTCATCTCTACAATAAAGCAAAAATTAGCCAGGCATGGTTGTGCGTGCCTGTAGTTCCAGTTACTTGGAAGGCTGAGATGGAAGGATCGCTGGAGCCCAGTAGGTTAATGCTGGGGTGGCCATGAGCATGCCACTGTACTCCAGCCTGGGCGATGGAGTGAGAATTCAATTTTTTTCAAAAAGTACACTTTTAAGTGAAAAATCACTTAAAAATCACTTAAAAAACTTCTAGAAAAACTTTCAAAAAGACTGTGTCAATTCATTTTTTCACACACAGAGTATCTGCTTTCCCATTTCCTCCTTATGACCACTGGTTTAATTTTTTTCAATATCCCAAGAAGAAAATGTCATCTTGTTCTTTTCCCATTCAGACGAACAAAGCATTTGGGCGTCTTTCTTTATGTTATTAGCCAGAGAACAGTCATTCTCTAATTCCTTGAAGGAAGCAATGTAACACTGCTCAGAAGACAGAATTGGAGGGGACAAGCCGGGTGTGGTGGCGCATGCCTATAATTCCAGCACTTTGGGAGGCTGAGGCTGGATGATTGCTTGGGACCAGGAGTTTGAGATCAGCTTGGGCAGCAAAGTGATACCCAGTTTCTACAAAAAAGAGAAAAATTAACCAGGTATGGTGGCATGTGCCTCTAGTTCCAACTACCTGGGAGGCTGAGGCAGGAGGATCGCCTGAGTCCAGGAGTTTGAGGCTGCAGTGAGGCGAAATTGTACAGTGAGACCCTGTTTTAAATTGAAATTGTACAGTGATACCCTCCATTGCTTAGCCTGTAATCCCAGTACATTGGGAGGCCAAGGTGAGAGGACTGCCTGAGCCTGCGGGTTTGATACCAGCCCAGGGAACTTGGCAAGACCTCGTCTCTACAATAAATAAAAAATTAACCGGGCATGGTAGCATGTGCCTGTAGTTCCCACTATTTGGAAGGCTGAGGCGGAAGGATCACCTGAGCCCAGCAGGTTGACCCTGGGGTGGCCGTGAGCGTGCCACTGCTCGCCAGCCTGGGCAACAGTGAGACTCCAACTCAAAAATAATGATGATGATGATGATAATAATAATAATAATAATAATAATAATAATAATAATAAAAGAAGTCCCCAACATACGAATGAGTTTCATTTCAAAAGCATGTTTGTAAGTCAATTTGTTTTAATTTCAACAAAGTTAACCTCGGTACCCAACCAACACAATTGGCTATGCAGTACTGGATGTATTTAACAGGCTATACTGACACCTGATGGAGAGAAATAAAAAACGCAGGTGTGCATTGTTAAATTCTGTAACTTGAACGTTCGTATGTAGGAGATTTACTGTAATAATAATTGGCAGGAGCAGACAAGAATGAGTGGAAGAGGATGGGTTTTGAAGTAAGACTGAAACTCAAGATGAATGCAAGGGTGACCTGATGTTAAAAAGTCCTGGCATGCACTGTCCCCTGCAATGGAAGTCAGAACATCTAGACTAGGAGTTGATAATTAAGGGAAAACTCAGGTGCCAAAGATCCACACCATTGCTGCCCATGGGACCTGGTAAAGGCGGGGGACGATTTTCTGGCAGAAGAGAAGGCAGTGACTAGAAAGGTGATGGAGGTGGGCAGAGCCTTCCAAAACTATAATCCTTTATTCTGCTTAAATCCTGAACTACTTTCCATTGAATTGTAAAGAACACAAGGTTGTCTGATGCTTTACCTTCCATCATATCCCTGATTGTTTTTTTTTTTTCAATTTGGAGTCTCACTCTGTCACTCAGGCTGGAGTGCAGTGGCATGCTCACGGCCACACCAGCATCAACCTGCTGGGCTCCAGCGATCCCTTCGCCTCAGCCTTCCAAGTAGCCGGAACTACAGGTGCATGCTACCATGCCTGGCTAATTTTTTTGATTTAATGTAGAGACGAGGTCTCACCAAGTTGCCCAGGCTGGTCTCAATCTGCGGGCTCAGGCAATCTTTTCGTCTCGGCCTCCCAAAGTGCTGGGATTACAGGCATGAGCCACAGTGCCCGGCCTGAAATGTTCTTTTTTATTGACCATCCTCTCTTCCCATTGTTTTTCATAATGAATCATTCATAGTAATTGCAGTTACCTTCTACTGAGGACTTGACTATATGCTAGTCAGGGTTTTTGCATTCAATTTCTATTTATTATTTATTTGGGTCAGGGT